AGAATAAAAAGTAAAAAACAACATAAAAACTACTCATTTATGCTCATGGCAATCCAGTACAAAAGTGGATGTACTTATTTTACATGCACATTAATGTAAACAAAAGCTGCAGCTGTTCCATGTTTCATTTAAAGAGATGTTACACTGTGCTTTTGTTTTCTACTACTGACTCCGCCCACAAAATAAACAACACAAAACACAGCTAGTATCATACACTGCAATAATACAGTGTTTAAATCTGTTATTTTAGGAAAATAGTCACACTCGCACTTTTCTACTGTTCTAAAAATACTATGTTTTGTCTTTTTCACAGTTTAATATTTCCAGTGGTTGTAATTGTAACACTTTAAAGTTTGGTCAATAGGGGGAGCTGTGCTCCACCTCAAACTCCACCTACAAGCACAGCTCACGGCTCACGAGCCGCTGAAAGCTGTTGTTTTATTGGCTACCTCCTGAAACATCTGATTGCATTAGGATATGCTTCATGTAAATGATATGTTAATGAGGTGCTGGTAGGCTGGCACTTGATTTCATGCACTGAAGCTGATTAAACGCTCAAATCTCTGCTCGTTTCCACATCATACGAAAGTTAATTAACCGTTCGTACATATTTTTGCATAACTTGCTGGCCAATGTGTTCAGTCAGGGAACCCTAAAAAAGTGAACTTGATGAGTGTTTATGGTATACTAAATGTTTGTCAATAAGGACGATATTGAGTTATAGTTTTTAATATGCATATTAAACTGTATTTGTCTCTATTCAGCCCATTAAAGTATTTTCAGTTCATAATTTCATTTTTGGGCTCTAAGCATAGACGTACAGCTGCAGTGTTTCAAAACATATTATTTTCCTCATACTGTACATCTCTATTCACCCTCTGTCTGAAACGCACTGTTAGAGCTCCTGTGTCTTCAAACCACGCCTCCTGATGAGCCCGTCCCTGTCTTGCAGTCTGCAGGCAGACGCTTATCTTCTGTGCAGCTGTAAACTCCGCTGTGGCTGTTTCTCCAGCGGTGTTGGTTCTGCCATATCAGTTTGATCCAGAGTCAACCCTGAAAGTCCGGTCAGCATCTTCTCCACATGGCTACAACACTGACCACACTCTTCCTCCTTCTGTAGCTGCTGTGTGCTGTATGAGGGTGCCGAGCTTGCCAGTAGGCGGGCAGTAAGGACTGTGGTACGCGGTTGCGTCATCTTGTAGCAAAGGAAAAGGGCTGGAATTTCAACGAGGCGCTTCAAGCAACTGAGAAAAGTGGTCTTTGTGGGAAAGAGTTTATCCCTCTGGAGGGAACGCGGAGCTTTGTGACTTTGCAGAACGTTTACATGCATAAAAAGCATAATAGGTCCCCTTTAAGGTATATCAGCTCAGGCTGTTGCTCTGTGCAGCTTGCTGTGAAGGTTAAAGGCAAATGAATGGAACGTCCAGCCTTTCTGGATGGAGGCCAAAGAGAGTCAACAGGCGTCGAGGCCACTTGTTTAACAGGACATATCATGTGAGGCATAAATAACCCTGCTCTCTCCATGCATGGCCACATTATCAGAGAGCGAGAAGGAGACAACAATCTGAGGAAAAAAAGGAAAACACTGGCAGCTCTCGGGGGAGCACCTGCCTGAGGTCACGTACACAGAGCTGGGCAGCAGCGAAGTGCCACTCACGAACGTGTCGGCTCATTGACTCGGCTCTTTTAGGTGAACGCTTGACAGCTGCCTCACATTTCATCTCCGCAAATGTTTGCTGTGCTTATGTTCCATATTCTATTTAGAAAATGTTCTGAATTTCACTGTGAAATGCACCTTTGGAAATGCATAGACTGATGTTACAGAGTGGAGAGGAGTGAACATGTTCATCAGTGTGCAGTGCTGGTCTTGTGTGTTGTGTTTGGGTATTCATAACATTATCTCTGAGTAAAATCAAACCCAGATTGTCTGATTAGAAAAGCATTTTAAAGATGTTTCAGATTGAGTGGGTGTAAGTACCAAAACAGTTCTTTCACTCTTCCAGCCTCTTCTTATCCATTAGACATAAACAGTCTGTTGTTACTGTGCCTTTAAGAAGTTCGAGGGTTCTTTAGTAAAGACGATAGTTTTATATAGTACCGTGAATACTCAAAGAATCATTTGCATAGTGAAATGGTTCTAGAGATTGATGTAGAATGTGCTGTAGATGGTTCTATATAGCACCAAAAAAGGCCCTAATTGTGTTACAAGCTTTACATCGTAATAACAGCTGAACTCTGTTCTGACTGGCTCCTGTTTTCTGTCATTAATCTTAGGTTAAATCTAGTTTCACAGCGGTTAAAGATTGTTGTCATGTGGACTGACTTAAACCCTCACTTAGGGTGCTGGAAAAGAATTTAATATTTCTTTAATCTAACTTCTCTATCTTTATATTTTCATATTTATCTAAAATCTCTGATGCTCATAATTCTTATTTTGATTTCTTTGAATTGCCTCTGTATTTTTTTTCTTTACTTATATTATTTTTGCACTTTTTTCTCTCTTAAAAGCACTTTGTTTTAAAAGGTGTCCTACAAAAACAAGTTATTATTATTATTATTATTATTATTATGACTCAATTATATTATAGCTCAGTTCAGCCTATAATCTTAAAAAAGATGTCGTCATAACGGTTCTTTAGTTTAGAAAAAGGTTCTATATAGAGCCATGAACACTCAAAGAACCCTTTGCACAATTAAAAGGTTCCTTGCATTATGAAAAGTCTCTTCAGACTGATGGAAAATGTGCTGTAGATGGTTCTATATAAAACCTTTTTGAAAGTGGTTCTATATAGCACCCGTCAGGGGTCTTCTACCTTCATGACGTCAAGCTTGTAACAATAGAAGAAGCTTTTTGGGTGCTATGTAGAACCCGTGTCAAAAAGGTTCTCTACACAACCATCTATAACACATTCATGCACATTTTCCACCAATCTAAAAAAACCCTTTTGTGATGCAAAGAAATCTTTAATCATGCAAAGAGTTCTTTGAGTGTTCATGGTTCTATATAGAACCATTTTCTTTACTAAAGAACCCTTTTAGAACCATTTTAAGAGTGTATATAGCACCAAAAAGGGTTCTTCCATTGTTACAAGCTTGGCATCGTAACAGTAGCAGAAACTTTTTGGTGCTACATAGAACCATTTTCAAAAGATTCTTTATGATTCATTTAAGCATGTAAATGGTTCTTTGAGTTTTCATGGTTATATATAGAACCACTGTCTTTACTAAAGAACCCTTAAAACCATCTTTTTTAAGAGTATACAATATACGTCCAAAAGTACACTCACTGTTACTCTACAGTAAACACAGTATGAGTGGTGTCGGCTATACAGTCGGCCATAATCGATGACATGACTGTCCATAATGACAGTTATGTCAGAACTTTGGTGTGAAAGAAGTTACAGTGAACTTTCGAGTGAGGTCATTAAAGCAAATAACCCTGCTGACATTTTGCATACTTACCTTATCAGCAGACAGATTGTAATCAGCTGAATGTGCGAGGCCGTGAGACACGCACTGTACGTCCAAAAGTATCCGGACAGATGAATAAATTCTAGCAAGGCCTGAGTAAAAACAGTGGAGACGCTTCCTTCTGCGTTTATGCTTCTAACACTGTGGAACTCATCACCTCTTACAGTCAGGCAGTCAAGCTCAGTTCATATTTTTAATAAACATTTGAAAATGTGTCTTTTTAATCAAGTTTTTACTAAAAGTATTGTTGTCGTTTATTTTCTTGTAAATTTATTTTATTTTTTAATCAGTTTAGGTTTCCTTGTTTTGTTCCTTTTTTGCTTTCAAGTTAATTCACATGTTTAATGACCATTTGAAAAATGTATCTTTTTAATCTAATTTGTAATTAAAATACTGTTTTCATTAATTTTATTTGCTTGTTATTTTATGTCATTTTAATTTCTGATTATTTTGTTTCTATTCTTTCTGATCCTTTTCCTGCTTTTGTTGTTTTTTCACTTTTATTACTTAATTTTACTTTTTAACTATAAAGCACTTTGAGTTGCTTTGTGTATAAAAAGTGCTCCATTCTTCTTCTTCTTCTTCTTCTTCTTCTTATTCTTCTTATTCTTATTATTATTATTATTATTATTATTTTAAGGCTACTGATACAGCTTGTATAGCTGCCATAGGAAAGCTGTGACCAATCGAATGGGATGCCTAAGGTCACCATGCATGGTGGCTCAACGTAGGGCTGAACAATTTGGAAAAAAATATCTAATTTAAATTTTCTCTACAATTTAAATTCTATAAATTATATAAATTCTATAAATTCTTCTGTACAATTTAAATTCTATAAATTCTTCTCTACAATTTAAATTCTACAAATTCTTCTCTACAATTTAAGTTCTATCAATTCTATAAATTAATGTCCTGGCCTTTTTTCTAACCGTTTTGTCTGGCTTAAGACTTGAATGCTAAATGTGCACCAGCCTGCCAGTTAGTCGTGGTTATGATGTCACAGCAGGTGGGTGTTTGATTGCTTCTGATTCAACAGGCAGTTCACAAGTTCCATGTTTTTCCTTTCTGAAAACTCCAATTAAGACAGCGTCGTTGATTATATTGGATAGAGTTTAAAGCAGCTCTTTCATTTTGTGGTTTAGATATAAAACAAAATCTTAAATTGAGCAGTGGAACTGTGTTCTCTGGAGTGATGGAACTCCATCCAATACCTTTGGGATGAGTTGGAGTGATCCAGGACTGACCATCCAACATCAGTACCTGACCTCATTAATGCTCAATCAAATCCTCACAGCAATGTTCAACATCTAGTGTAAAGCCTTCCAGAAGAGTAGAGGCTGATACTGCAGCACAAACTCACTATTAATATCCTTCATTTCAGAAGAAACGCTGGAGTTTACAAAGGTATGGACACACAGTGAATCTCACTGGCTCAAGTTTCAGTGCCAAAAGTCCCCATGAAGAAAGACAGTGACACATATGTCTGTATATCTCCTATAGTGCCTTTATTGTTTCTCCTCACAGTTCCTTCCTGGTCACAAACAAAAATGTGAGCAGTGTTTCAGTAATCCTAGCTGTCTTGGCGTGGGCTGCGGTGTGGTCAGAGGTGTCTGCTGATGGCCTAGTTAATGTGAGAGGATCATAAACAGAGGTGACTAACCTGTTATTATGAAATTTGTCAACAGCAGCGGCAGAAAGAAGCCGTCTGTGAAGAACTGGTTCTTATTTTCTCATCAACAATCTTAAAATAACCACAGACATACATTTCGTTCGTGTAATGAATGATAACTCTGCTAAAAAAAGTCATAGAAGTTCCTGATAGTGTTTAATAGTCTCTTAAGGTATTCTGTGCTTTTGTGATGGGTTGATATCACAGTGTAAAGGGGGCAAATGGTTTAACAGGAGTTCTGGGACTGATTCTAGTCACATTTGATAGATTCCTAATTAATGAGGTCGTACAGTAAACAAGTGGTCTCTAATGTCAACCACTGATCCAATTTCTATTAAAAAAAGCAAAACTATCAGGTTTTAATCCTAAAGTTTCTAATGGTCTGTTTTAGTTCAATGAGCTCTATGGTACTCTACAGTACCATAGAGCTCATTGAACTATATTCTATATAGAACAATGTCCTTTATTAAAAGAGCCCTTAGAGAACCATCCTTTTTAAGGGGGCACTCTGTTTACAGTGTTACTACTTTTTTACATCTTCTGTAAAGTTACCATTTTTGCAAGTTCATTGAGGCAGCATGTAAGTGTACACTACAGACATATATATATATTTCAAAAGATTCAAGAAAAGACAAAAAAACAGGGCTCCTTACACAAGAGACGAAACTAGAAACACCTGGAAACAGAGGGAAACAACACAACACAGGTGAGTGCAATATGTAGGGGGTGGAGCTAGGAAGACCAGAAAGAGTTAAACAGAAATGTGGATGTAGCTTAACTGTTTCCAGATTTCTCTTGAAGAAAGTTCAGTGTTTACAATTACCACCTAGTGCCTGTTTTATCTAATCAATACTTTATTAAATGAATTGAGCAAATCCATTCGATGTCTGGAGCGGAGTGGGAAAGCAGGAACGAAACCTACATAGAACCATGAACACTCAAAGAACCATTTGTTGCTTAAAGCCTTTTTCAAATTGATGGAAAATGTGCTGTTTATGTTTCTATATAGCACCGAAAAGGGTTCTTCTATTGTACACTCTTAAAAAAGATGGGTTTGCAGTAAAGAAAATGGTTCTACTGAGAACCATGAACACTCAAAGAAGCCTTTGCCTGATTAAATGGTTCTTTGCATGGTGAAATGGTTCTTCTGATTGATGAAGAATATGCTGTAAATGGTTCTATATAGCACCAAAAAGTGTTCTGCTGTTATTGCGATGTAAAGCTTGTAACACAATTAGGGCCCTTTTTGGTGCTATATAGAACTATCTACAGCACATTCTACATCAATCTCTAGAACCATTTCACTATGCAAATGATTCTTTGAGTACGCACGGTTCTATATAAAACTATCGTCTTTACTAAAGAACCCTCGAACTTTACTTTAAACAGCACATTCAGATTACTGACTACTGTATTTATGTTTATTTGTTCCACTTGTTTCTGTTTTTACGGTTTGCCTAAGACTTCTGGAAAGTCCGGTTAGGAGCTCAGTGGACGTAATCTCACAGCTGTGCAGTGAAGCTCGTGAAGGGCTTGGCCTTTGGGTCAACATGGGAAATTCTTGGAAATTGCAGCAATTTAAACACACTGGCATGTCCTTCTGACAAGGCTCACGATGCAGAAGAAAGAAGAAGAAAAACATTTCCTCCACTCAGATAAGGAAGGAAAGGGAAGAGACTTAAGAGAAGATTTTACTGACTTCAGTTTATTTGAGAGTAAAAGCAAGAATTTCATCTCAGCTTGTTTGTAACACAATAACCTTCCAGACCTATTTACACTGCGGTTCTCGATTTCTAACAGCAAAGATGTTAAAAACAGACAGCCCACATCCACACAGCCAAACGACTCTTACTAAAATGAACAGGATAAGTCGAATCTTTGACTATGACTATGCTCTGAAGACTTAAAAATAGTCAGCAGGATGGATGACCGTAAAGCTCACAATAACAAGCTGTTTCGATAAGTATGTGAGCAAATGAACGACGCCAATTATACAGCAAATTAAAAACAGATCTGTCCACAAACAAGACACAGGTGATAGCAATAACTAAGGGGTGGAGCTAGGAAGACCAGAAGAAGTTAAACAGAAAAAAGGGCAGAGCCAGACTACAGAAACTGACAGCAACAATTTGTAAACATATTTATCTGCACAGTAAACATTTATTTAAAAAAAAACACTAATATTAGAATAAATGCAAACAAATGAAGAATCTATTGTAATTGTTGTCCCAAGAAAAACATGTATCTCCAAAATCTGAAGTACGGAGCCCTGCTGGTGACATGCAGTATGAATAAAAATAATGCATGACCATGCTGTACTAATATGTGGGAACAAGATCAGAATACATGGCCATAACTTAGTAAAATGTGGAAACAAGCTCATGCCTTGTTAAGCTGTGATCAAGGCTTCATTATGTCATTTCCATGCCTTACTAAGTCATGGCCACACAATAGGATCTTGTTCCTAAGCCTTACTAAGTCGTGGCCATGCATTAGGATCTCGTTCCTATGCCTTACTAAGTCGTGGCCACAATTTAATTATTTCATTCTCACGCTTTACTAAGTCATGGCCATGATTTAATTATCTCATTCCCACAGTTACTAAGTATTATTAAGTTGTGACCACGCATTAGGATCTCATTCCTACACCCTACTAAGCTGTGGCCACAAATTAATTATCTCATTCCCATGCCTTACTAAGTCATGGCCACACGTTACAATCTCATTCCAATGCCTTACTAAGTCATGGATGCAATTTAATTATCTCATTCCCATGGGTTACTAAGTCATGGCCATGCATTAGGATCTCGTTCCTACACGCTACTAAGCCGTGGCCACGATTTAATTATCTCATTCCCATGCCTTACTAAGTTGTGGCCATGATTTAATTATCTCATTCCCATGTCTTACTAAGTTTTGGCCACGATTTAAATATCTCATTTCCATGCCTTACTTAGTCATGGCCATGATTTAATTATCTCATTCCCACACCTTACTAAGTTGTGACCACGCATTAGGATCTTGTTCCTATGCCCTACTAAGTCATGGCCATGTTTTAATTATCTCATTCCCATGACTTAGTAAGTCATGGCCACAACTTAATTACCTCATTTCCACACCTTTCTTACGTGTGGCCATGCATTAGGATCTCATTCCTATGCTCTCCTAACTCATGGCCATGATTTAATTACCTCATTCCCACACCTTACTAAGTCATGGCCACACATTAGGAACTCGTTCCTATGCCTTACTAAGCCGTGGCCACAATTTAGTTATCTCATTCCCACACCTTACTAAGTCGTGGCTAAATATTAGGATCTCATTCCTACACCCTACTAAGTTGTGGCCATGATTTAATTATCCCATTCCCACGCCTTACGAAGTCGTGGCAACAATTTAATTATCTCATGCCCACGCCTTACTAAGTCGTTGCCACGACTTAATTATCTTATTCCCATGCCATACTAAGTTGTGACCATGCATTATTTTTATTTCTTCAGGATGTGAACCGCAGGGCTCAGTAGGTAAGTGTACAGGAGAGAACAAAAACATTCTTTACTTTCAGTGTAATTTAATGTAAAAAGGTTTTACAGTTTTTTATGATTGCTTTGGCACAATTTTAAAACAGGGCTCATTTTTTTTAAACACTACAAACAGTTCACACAGCCACACACAAGCAGCAGAACATCCAATCTTACACACAATGACACTTTATTCAAAACTATACAATAATTTTTAAATACCCAATTTAGTGACCGTCTGGCTCACACAGAGTTCACAAGATCTGATTCTGTTGGAGCCAGTTACTCACTGCTGGGCTCAATCTGAAACATCTTTAAAATTCCTGCTTTTCTAATCATGCAGTCTGAACACGTTCACTCCTCTCCACACTGTAACATCAGTCAGCACATCCATGCATTTCCAAAGGCTGCATTTCACACTGAAATTCAGAACATTACAAAGACTAAAAGAAAAGTAAAGCGATCATAAAACACTATAAGTGTCTGTACACCTGACGGTCAGGGTGGTGCTTTAAAATGGCAAAGAATCTCTTAGATTTCTGTGTGTAATGTGGAGAAGTGTGTTTAACACACTGTATGTTGTTTTTTGGTTTAGGTTTCACTAACATATATATATATATATGTGTATGTATTTGTGTGTGTATGTGTATGCATGTATGTGTGTCTATATACGTGTATATATTTCCCCTTTCCTGAGGCTTCTGAGGCAAACATCTAACAAAACTGGCAATGAAAGCTTATTCAGGATATTCAGGTTAAATCTCAGAGTCTGAGTGCTTCTCTAAGACCAGACACTGCAAACACCAAGGACAGTCTTTGCTCTTGTTGCTCTGGAGACCGTCAGTGAAAACCCAACTAAATTACAGCAGAACTAATGAGATTTCTGTTCCATAAACAGCCTGTATCCTACAGTTTTCTTGTGTTTTTTTTACTGACCTCCACTTATTTCATTTGTACCAAAAACAGTCATGATTCATTTCTACATTATCATTTTCCAGCATATGTATATTTACATTCACATTGATATATATATATATATATATATATATATATATATATATATATATATATATATATATATATATATATATATATATATATGAGCTCTGCCCTGATTGGCTGTGGCTCATTCAAAAAGCAGTTCAGGCAAAAAAACACTCCTAATAACCTCAGAGTAATTGAGCTTAACTAAGCTGAATAGGCATATAAATGTAAATGTGTTGGTTTTCAACATTGCAAAAACAAATTCAAGTGGGCTGTTTTCGCAGCATAGTGTCCACATATGACAGTTTTTACATCCTATATTAAACTTTTTCATTTCAAAAATATAAGGAATGCTTGTTTTTCTATGAAATAAGCCCTTTAAAGCAACTGCAGCTGTTTTCTAGTTCCATAGTTTCCTTATAAAAAACTACAGCGGCTGTTTGCCTGCATACGATTTAATGTATAAACAGCACTTCTGAGTATTTACCCTCTCAACCTGAACAGCTCCAGCCAGTTCGAGCACCAAGGTCACATGACCGCATACCATCAAGGACAAAAAAAGAAAACAGTAATGGATCAGTTTAATGAGCTTTGGCTCTTCTTCTCTGACAGGCCATTTCAAGGTGACGTTATGTAGGAATTCAAGAATTTATATTAATTCTCAGTGATGAGGATGTGGATATGTCTGACTCTGAGACTCACAGAAGGCTCATTGTTTGGAGGCAGGTGTCTGTTTGCCTCAGCAGATAATAGCTCTTCTCTCACTTTGATGTAAATCAGTCTGAATCGAGGCTCCAGTTTCAACTCTAATCTCACTGATTAAAAAACATCCAGAAAATTCAGAAAATGTATGTGCTGTACATTCATGAACGTGTGCAATCGCTGGTTTTAAATAAATAAAGGTGAAAAACAACATTCTTTGAAGCGATGCTATAGACAAAAAATACATTTCCTGTTTTGTAAAGTTTGAAGAACTTCTACATAATATAAAAGCTACATAGTTATTGATCCTAGAAACAAATGCTGCCCAGAAGGCAAGCATTTAGTTTAAGTTTAAATAATGAAATATATATATACAACCCAATTTCCAAAGAAGTTGGGATGCTGTGCAGAATGTAAATAAAAACAAAATGCAATGATATGCAAATCATGTAAACCCTGTATTTAAATGAAAGACAACACATCAAATGTTGAAAGTGAGAAACTGTATTGTTTTTTGAAAAATATATGCCCATTTTGAATTTGATGCCAACAACACGTTCCAAAATAGTTGGGACGGGGGCCTGTTTACCACTGTGTTTCATCACCTCTTCTTTTAACATCACTCTGTAAGTGTTTGGGAACTGAGGAGAGCAATTGCTGTAGTTTTGAAAGTGAAATATTTTCCCGTTCTTGCTTAACATGGGGATTTCAGCTGTGCAACATTTCTGGGTCTCATTTGTCGTATTTTTCATTTCATAATGCACCAAATGTTTTCAGTGGTGACAGGTCTGGATTGCAGGCAGGTCAGTTTAACACCCGCACTGTTTTAATACAGAGCAATGCTGTTGTAATACGTGCAGAATGTGGTTTGGCATCGTCTTGCTGAAATAAGCAAGACGCAGTGATGAACTTTGTTCACAGACAGTGTTTTTCAGAAGTGTATCTGAGCCCATACAATGATTTACACTGCAGAATCATGTCTGTTTTTAATGCAGTGCCACCTGAGGGCCCAAAGATTACGGCTAGTCAGTAATGGTTTTTGGCCTTGTCCCTTGCATACAGAGATTTCTCCAGATTCTCTGAATCACTTAATGATATTATGTACCGTAGATGATGAAAAGCAAAAGTTCTTTGCTTTTTTATTTTGAGAAATGTTATTCTTGAACTGTTGCTCTATTTGCACACACAGTCTTTCACAGAGTGGCGAACCCTCATTATCTTTACTTCTGAAAGGCTCAGCCTCTCTGGGATGCTCTTTTTATGCTCAATCATGTTACTGACCTGTTGCAAATTAAACACCATGTTTTTTCAGCATTACACAATTTTACCAGTCTTTTGTTGCCCCTGTCCCAACTTTTTTGGGACTTGTTGTTAGCATCAAATCATTTCTTTTCAAAAACTATACAATTTTTCATTTGATATGTTGTCTTTGTACTATTTTCAATTACATATAGAGTTTAAATGATTTGCACATCATTGCTTTTTGTTTTTATTTACATTTTGCACAGCATCCCAACTTTATTGGAAATGGGGTTTTATATATACAAAATAAGTCTCTCAAAGATGAAAGCTTTAAGTGCTTTTTGTCTGATGGGGACAGTTTTGGTGTCTACCAGGTCTTCCAGACGGTTGTGAGGAGGCACATTTTCTCTGTAGCTTTTAAACTTTTATTGGAAACTCTAGGTTTTGTTTGACTTACAATTTTCTCTTGTGCTTAACTGCAGCTGTGACTGGAAATTATATCAATGAATGGTGGTTTCTGACTTTTTCACAGTGATATATATATTAAAAATGACAAAAAAATAAATAAAATGTACATACAGAGGTGCTCTCATAGTGTAGGGCTATTGTTTGTCACCTGTGAGAAAAAAGCACAAAAGTCTAAAAGGCCATCATGGTTAATTACATAGCAAGTAAGGTAGACAGATTTAATTACAGTCCTGCAGGACGCTGCCGCAGGCCCCGTGG